CCTTCTTTGCTTCGCCATTCCACTATATATATATATATATATATATATAGGCCTGTGCATAATAATAATGGTGGATTAGTAATCGACTGTATCAAGGTAGCATCGGTCGGTTTGTCCTTGTTTGTCAATTCTTTTTTTCATTTCTTTTTTTTGACAGCATATTATATATCAATTTATATATACAAATATTTTTTCTAGATGTTACACGACATATAACCAAGCTATTTTCATACGATATTTATACATAATGAAATCTCGACGATAATCCATAAACAAAACGTTATATATATATATCTATATATATACATACATAGATATCGGACAAAAACAGTGAATTTTGTACATGTCTTTCAGTTTTACCACAACGGGTGTTGATCCACATAGTACTCATTATTCATCACCAACAAATATGCATCATCAACAGTATATGTCACCATTAACTGGTTCTTCATCATCGTCAACTGGCGGATCACCAACAACATCCGTACAAATTCCGACGGCTACTGTTGCTACTAATATGCCATTATTAACATCGATTGCAAATGTTAAAGATTCACGTTGGCTTACATTAGAAGTTTGTCGTGAATTTCAACGTGGAAAATGTACACGATCAGAACAAGAATGTAAATTTGCTCATCCATCAACACATGTTGAAGTTAATAGTGGCAAAGTTATAGCTTGTTTTGACTCACTTAAGGTTTGTTAAATCTTTTAAAAGAAATAATAATTACATAGATAACGTGAATATTTTCATTAAAAGAATTGTTTTCATTTATACATACAAAAAAAAAAAGATTAGTTCTACATTAAGGACATCTATCATGTTGTCATTTTGAATGATTAAAATCAAAATGAAGAAAAAAAAAAAAGAAGATTGACCGTTGATTGTTTATTTTGTTTATCTTATATGCACATTCGTTCACGAGAGCTATTCTACTATCGTTGATTATTATAACGACCTTTAACATAGGTAGATATGATATATGTGTATATCATACGTGTAGAACGAAACGAAAAGATGATTTCGAAAAAGTTAACGTTTATTCATTTTTGTATATTACATATGAAAATAGATGAATGACATAGTTAAAGGCGTCATATCAGCTATAGAAAAAAAAAACGAAAGCGACCGAGACGATATATTTTGTTGGATCATTCAAAACTTTAGAAAAAAAAAAAAAAAAAAAAAGATACGAGATGAGTCTTGAGCAAGTAAGTTAACGAAAAAAAAATGAGAGAGAGAGAGAGAGAGAGAGAATTTTTTATTTTCTTATCTTAAGCATACAGACACCTTTAAATTCTTCTTCTATCTTTTTATATTGTAAAAGTGTCCACCATGAGTAGCAACAATCCACAGTCGATAAAAATTTCTGTATGCATTCGTTATATTTTATCATGATAATTTGATAATAAATTTAAAAATTCTTTTTGTTTTTTTTTTATTTTTTCATTATTTTATTTTGTTTTTATAATAGGGTAAATGCAATCGTACAAATCCACCGTGTAAATATCTTCATCCACCTCAACATTTACGTGACATTCTACTTCAAAACGGACGCAATAATCTTATTCTTCGTAGTATTGGTAAAAAGTGAAAATAAACATTACTTTTTTTTTAAAAATTTTGTATGTTTGTTTTTTGTTAAAAGCTATGAATATTGCTGCTAATCAAGCTATGTATCCACAAACGGCAACTCATTTGTCATATCCCAATGGTGCTATTATTCAAAATCCATTACAACAATCGGCGTCAATTGTAAGAAAATTTTTATTTTTAAAATTTTCTAAAACAAAAAAAAGCTTAATTAATGAAATTTATTAGGCGTCCTATCCACAAATTAGTTCAGCTGGTCCAGCTCAATCAGCTTTAGTATTTAATCAAGCTGGTCAAGCTTTTAGCATTCCTTTACATGCAACACATTTACACCAAATAACACAAGGTACAAATGGAACAACTATGTATGGTCCAGATGGTACGCAATATTTTCAACCGGTGACACAATTAACTGCTCAACCAACTGGACCAAAAATAACACGTACTGATCGTCTTGAAGTATGTTATCTCAAAGAAAAAAAACTTTTTTTGTTTTTTGCTCATTATTCCCACTATTTTTTTTTTAAATCCTCTTTTATTAAAACAGTGGTAAGTGAGATAATGTAAATGTCTATCTAGCAGCCAGGCGCGCCAATCTACATTCATTATAATTGCTCCATCTGCACGCTGAATCAGCTAGTACAGCAATATAAAAGAGTCTATATCGAGTAGTAATAGCAGCAGCAGCCAGCCAGCCAGCCAGCCAGCCACATTCCCTGCCATTTCTTTCTTGAGCTCTATTTGGTTCACTAATCTGCTCAGAGCCGTTCTCATGCCGCCATCGTTGCTGCTCTTTTATTGAAAAAAAAAAACACCAACCAAAATTGGTAGCATGTATCTCGCTCATATATATATAGATATTCGTATTCATAGTACGCGCTCTCGTATAGCTTTGTCCTTGTTTATATTGCTAATCGATTTTTAATATCAAATATGGTTATGGTGATACTAGATGAAAAAAAAACGCAAAAGAATACTTTCCATTCTCCTAGATTTATTCGAATACAAATTCCAATCATGATGTTTTAAAGGTTTGTTATAAATATGAAAATATTTCTATATATATGTGTATGCTCATCTTTGGACCTGATATATCTCTTTACTTTTTTTTTTCTGTTTCCCTTTATATTCACATTCCTTGTACTTAACATAGTGTGTATCCCATTTAGTCTTATTTTGAACTTGACACGCTCTATGTAAGTGAAGAGATTCTTTAAATTTTCAAGCATTCGAAGGCCAGCTTATTCTTTCAAATAGTATTCGTTTATTATTATCGTGCACCTATTCTGTTTAACACGTGTGTGTGTGTGTGTGTGTGTGTATTGAATATTTCTATGGTTTTTCTTTGTGCTTAGCATTTACACGACTAGTTTCTTTATCTCTATGCTTATTGCTTGCTTCTTTAGTTATTATTTTTCTTTATATATATATATATATATATTATCAACTTGCATGTTTGTGCCTTCTTTTTGTTCAGCTTGTATTGGTTTTTGTTTCTAGGTATGCTCTGATTTTCAGCATGGGCAATGCTTTTATACATCAGATACATGTCCATATGCACATCCACAAGCACATTGTCCACTTGATGCAGATGGTCTTGTTACTGTCTGTGTTGATTATGTTAAAGGAAAATGTTCTCGTGAAACATGCAAATATTTTCATCCACCTGATCACCTTGTTGCACAATTAAAAGCTGTTAAAGCACAATCAGTTGCTGCTGCTGCTGCACATGTTTATTCAGCAGCAGCTACATTACAATATTCACCATCAACTATTCAATTTGTTCATCCACTTACATTGAATAGTAGTCAACAGATATTGACTGCACCACCTACATATGTCTATCCTCAACAAACATCTATTGCACCTGTTTCTTCTTCTACTTCTTCTTCGCCATTGGTATGCTTTTGTATCTTTTGCATGGTTTCATCATGCTTATATTTGATTTGATTTTTCTAATTAGTTATATAAACTAAAAGAACAAAACAAAAAAAAAATAGAAAAGAATTAATATTGTTAATTGCTTATTATTTTTAGCAACAACAGAATGCTCCAGAAGACGATGGTGCTTATACAAATGGTTTTGTTTCGCCTTATCAAACATATCAAGGACATATTCAAGCAATTTATGCACGGGCACCATCTGCTGATTTGAAAGATGTAAGTTTAAAATAGAATTTTTCAAAACTCAATTAAATATTCATTTATTTTACAAGCACGAAAATTATAATTAATTTTAAAAAAACAAAAAACCAAACTTTTTTTTTGTTTTCTTTTGTTTCAGTCAACATTAATTGCTTCAACAAATGATACAACATCATCATCAACAACAACTGATATTAAGGTTGGTAGAAAAATTTTATTTTTAGGTGTTTTTTTCTTCTTGTCGATTTTTCATATTGTCATTGTGCAGCAAGCAGCATCAGCAGCCTTTTGTTTTTTTTCTGCCATTGCCTTCTGTGAACGTGATGATATTTGAGCTTTATTAAATAACATATTACATTTTTAGTCAATCGCACAAATTATTTTAGCAGAAATATTGTGCGTGCTTTAGCTTATTAAAAAAAGACAAGAAACGACTGATGCACGTCATAGATATTATAATTATTCAATCTTAATTCTCACGAGAGAACTTTCAAAATTGCTTTTCACTTCAGACTCTGTGCATAAGATAGATTCAAATGAAGTATTAAAAATCCTAAAAGCATAAAGGCATCTAGACCTTCTCAACAATAGTATGTACAAAAAACAAAATCAACTGACAATATTTAGACCTAAAACTTCGCTTGTACATTGTAACTAGCATGGGTAGCGGAAGTCCAACCACCACACTAGGATGTCCTGAGAATCTCATGTCTTTTTTTTCAGAATTCAATATCTCCTGAAGGAAACATTCAACTATAATCTTTGGATTACAGAACGGGATATATGCAAGTTTGTAGAGAAAGATTTTTCTACTTAATAGTGTATGCATGATCGAGTTCCATAGTGTTGACATGCATATAGGTGGCGCTACCTATCGATATGTGTATAGTTCGAAATAGGATCTGATAATACATACACCATTAGATAGATGAAGTATATCTCTACAAGCCTGTATATACCCTGTTCTGTAGTAGCGCCTTTCGGTATATTATTCTAGTCTCAAGTAGAGGCAACATATCGTCATTCAATTTTTTGCATATACCGTACTCAGTATTTCATACAGCGTAAGGACCGATCCGAAGATTTGACTGTCTCCTTGTAGAAGAGGAAATCTGTATAAAACATTGACCGAACTATTAACTAAAATTTTAGTAAAACGGCTAAGTACTCTTATCCTCTTGAGGTTTTTAATATATCATTAGAATCTATCTTATGCATAAAGTCCGAACTGAAAAGTAATTTTTATATAAAAAAAAATTTCAATGAATAATAATTGATTATGATCCCAGAAAACAAAAACAATTAGAAGCTTATTGTTTATTTATATTCTTTTGTTTGTATATGCTTGTTGCACACACGATCTTGTCTCTATTCCTCTTTTCTACTAATCTAGGCAGTGATCGATCCTGTCAGCAGCAGCAGCATCACACAGCAGACAAAAAAACGACCGCTTGAAGACGATACTGCTACTTCCGGTGCCTACCTGCAGCTGGTATTGCACATATTGCTTATTTTTTTTTTTTTGAATCCTTAGATTTATTTATTTATTTATTTTGCTTTGTATGTACGAAACCAAAAAAAAAAAAAAAAGAAAGGAGAAACTGATCGAACCACAATATGCTTTATTTATAATCTTGCTAGCTTTGTTTTTTCTTGCTTTTAATTTTAATTTTTAGAAAATATTTATTATGCTTTTTCTTTTGTGGTTTGGTCAAGTTTTGAATATGCTTCTTTTTTTTTTTGATAGATAAACAAAGCAAAGAAATAAATGAATAAATATTTTTATTTTTGTTGTCAAAATCATTTAAATAAATCTTTTCTAGCCACCTGGAACACAAATAATTTCTGCACAACAATATGTTCAACAACAACAAACAAATGTACCAACACAACATCAAAAACGTTCAGCTGTTGCTGATCCAAAAACTGGTATACCAATGGCTGCATATCCAGTAACAGCATTTTCTTATCCATCTCCATCACCATTACAAATACCATTTCAACAACCTTATTTAACTGCTGTTCCTATGACTTGTAAGTTAATTGAGTGTTGATTTTTTTTTTCTTTTTATCTATCCAGCATGAGAAAGTTTTGATCTGAATGCTTGAATATCCTCATATATATATATATATACAGATTTACCATCACCTGAAATAGTCGCCGCTCAGGGTGCTCTTGTATCTGTGGGTTCATCATATGTAACATATATTGATAAAAAAGGACAAGTGAGATGATGTTTCATTTTTTGTGTGTGCATGTTAAACGTAGGATATAATTTCTCTCTTTTTTGCATATGTTGAATGATTTTTGTTCTATTTTGTTCAGCTCAAAATCAAATAAAAAGTACGTACATTATTATTGGAAAATATTAGAGATATTTTCACCATATAGTTGACTACGTACTAAATTTGTTGTTTTCTATTCTATCCTAGTTTATTTTTTTTTTTGTTTATGCATGTTGCATGATGCTGATGTAACAAGTTTTGATTTTATTCAATGGTTAAAAATGTGTTTTTTTTTGTTTAGTTACTGGATATACTTCCCATTTGCCGAGACTTTAAATCACGTCGTTGTATGAGACCTCAATGCAAATATGTTCATTTATTAGAAAGTAAATAGAAAAAAAATTCAAAAGTTAGAAATATTGAGTTTTTTTTTTTTTGTTTTTCGATGATTTAGATTTTGTAGAAGAAAAAAATGGTTATGTATCAATTTGTAAAGAAGCTATTTTGGGAAATTGTTCACAAAATGAATGTAAATTTATCATATTTGTACTGAAGAACTTCAACGACAAATTCTTTCTTTTCATTATAATAAAAATTGGCGTTCAAATACAAATGTTTTAACTACAACGAGTGTTTCAACAACAAGAAATCATTCATATTAGCCAAGATTTTTTTCTTTTTGTTTTCTTATCATTTTTCTCTCTTTCTCTCTTATATCATCATACAAACAAGTACGTACGTCTTTTTCTTTTTGATTTTCTACATACATATATATATTTATATATATATATAAACACATTTGTCTTTCTTTTTCATTCATTCACACACACAAAAAACATGTATTGTTTGTTTTTCTTCTGTTTCTATATGTTTATAATTTCTATATATTTTTGTTTGTCCGTTGTTTCCAGTTTGTGATGAAAAATTTTTTACAGTATATACACATGAATGTATTACTGTATGTGTATGAAAAAGGAAAACAAGCAATTTAGAATAAGCAGTTAATACATTTCTGTTTTGTTTTTGTTTTTTTTATTTCTGATGTTTATTTATCATTATTTTTTTCTTTTCTTTTTTTTCCGTCTATTTCTTGAGGAAAAAAAAACAACACCACCAATAACAACAATAATTTGTTTTTATTCTTTTCTAAATCTATTTCATTAATAATCTGTATTTGTAGAAGAGAGTCACAAGAAAAACAATTCGAGTGTGCACGCACAGGAAACATCCGAAAAAAAAAATTAACAGAATGAGAAAAAAAAGAATAGGAATAGAAGAGGAATAATGTCCGGTGTATTGATTTTTGTTTTGTTTTTTTTCATTCTTTGTGTTAATGTATTTATCCTCGAACTAATATAATATATACGAGATTATTCCTAGTCATGTGTCTTTCTCAGCTACACATTCCGTCTTATGTCATTTGCTTCGTAGACTGAACAGTAGTAGCTTTAGTTAATTAAGACGAGAAGCTAATATCGAGTTGCTTTATATATTGTCTTCTTAACAGCAATGTCTTATTTTTTCTTTTTTTTTGTGGTGCAATAGTGATGTCTATCGTATCCCCGTTACAAAACAAAGAAGATCAAAAAAAAAAAAACACATTTTTTTTAAAAAAAAAATGTTAACTCTCTCGGATAAAAGAGGAACAATTAAACTCCGATGCGAACAGTGTTCTGAATTGAACTGTTTTTTTTTTCTTTCTTTCTTATTGTTGTTGTTTTCTAAAATTTTCGCAATAGTCTCTTATTCAAATAAATACAAAACGAGCGTGCTATATGATCTCGTTAGTTGTGTATTCTTGTCTCTTTTGTTTTTCTGTTTTTGTTACTGGTGCTATTCCAGTTTCTCTTTTTCTTTTGTTTTTGTGCGCGAGATAATTCGTCGTTTTTTTTTTCTTGTTTGTATGTGTGTTGAAAAGTCCACTGAACAAAAAAAAAAAGCAAAACTGCAAAAAAAATTATTGTATGCATCTTTTTTTTTTTCTCCATGAACAAGAGAAAAATATCAAATAAACGAGTGAAATTCAAATTGATTATTTTATATATAATACATGCTTTGAAAAACTAGATAATATTGTTTTCAGCATATGATTTTGCTTTTGCACAATGAGAAAGAATATTAACGGATTTTACTTTTGGTTTTTTTTATGTATGAGTCAGATACTCTTTATAGATGTGCCTTTATTTGCTGCTTAACAAATAGTAGCATTGTATAGCTGTGCTAACTAGTTTTTTATCTATTATACATATATGTTTTTTACTGTCATTGGGAGACATTTCGAACACAACAATAAGTCATGTAACATTCCGACTCAATGGTATATGCAATGCTCGAGTTGAATTTGTAACTCAGCTCGATTTATTAATGAAAATAAAAAGAAGTTATGACACACTATAGATTAATGTGATGCAGAAATTGAAAAGTTTATCTGACTTAAAAATTATTTTCCTTATCAAATATGATTTTAATGCATGATAATTAATATATGGAAAACTTTGATGAGAAGATTGGATAGTTTTTCTTAGAACCAAAAAAAACAGAAACGACTTCCATCAATATAAGTCCGTCTATTTACTTGTTATTTTTTCATTAAACTGTCATTTATATGATATTATTATAAGAGTTTTTCCGCTTTGAGGCATACATGTCTTTCATATTTATTTTTAGAATGTCATGAATATTAAGATTACAATGCAAATAACAAAAAAAAAGAAAAAAAGGAATTAGAATTCGAGTTGAAATAGATTAAGTTACAATGGAATATTAGTAATGATTGCTGTATAATAATGGTTCAAATAGCATGGTTACTAAGATGGAAACACATGCAATTGAGGTTCGAGGTATTTATCGCAGTTGAAAACCTACTGCTGCTGTGAGGGTACTCTAAAAAAAAGTGTTTCGAATTACACTGCTTTAACTGTACTAAACTAGAACTATTATTATTAATTCTTGAGATTCATCGAGTCTCAGATTGTTACATTGGTAGACATTGAAAATTGATTCAGTTGTGCAATATCTTTCAAAAAACAGAACCTGTCACTACGGACATCTCTCATTAAAACTCATTAGTAAATTTTTTTTTAGAACTTTTTCAGATGTTTATATACCGTTATGACCATAATAATATTTATTCATTGTCAAACAAAAAAAAAAAATTATTATTAATTTTAATTGCCTATCAATCAATGTAACAAAATACTATTAGAAAAAAAAAATACATATTACATTCAACAATTTTCATTCAAGTATCATTTCTATGATTTCCGTATTTTGAATGATAGGACATTTTTTTTCTTCTCACATCTTATTTCCTATTCATTTGCAGTTTTCTTACTCAGCAATGTCCTGTCTTTTGTATTATTATTCACTATTATATTCGAGTAATGTTTTCTTTTATATTAGAAGTAATCAAAACTTTTTTTTTTTTTTGTTTTCGTTCAATAAATCATAATAATCATTGTCTTTCCAAAAATAAAATAAATTTATTAAATTCTTCTATCTATAATAATGTCATGTCATTATTATATCTATATGTAAAAGATCATTGATGATAATAATTCTAATTATATTGTCAACAATAAACAATATATATTTCAAGAAAAATGATGTTTTTCATTGACAATAAGCACACATGCCAAAATGCTTTATTTTGTTCGTTTTTTTTTTTGTTATAATCTTTTTTCGTCACATTCTGTTTTTTTTCTGTTTATAAGATACAAGTGAAAGAAAGAAAAAAGTGAAGAAAGTGCGCTCATAAAATTACAGTTCATCAACACACACGCACACATATATATATATATAATGAATAGAAGGATGATAAATGCACGAACAATAAATGAATTAATTTGGACGTCTCTGAACAAGAATATTTCAGTTTATATATATATATATATATATATATATATATGGATTAAGAATGAACGAAAGGGTTTTATTTTTCTTTCGATGACAAGACGGAAGACAAGCGGTGTGTATTATCGCCTTAAAGGAACAAGAAAACAAACGTGAAATTGTTATTTTTTTTTTTTTTTCGTTTTTTTTTTCGTTTTTGACTAGAAAGAAGGCAGATCAAATTTTAACATGAGCTCATTTCAATCTGGACTGAATCAAAAATTGATTTTTTGTAGGCAAAAAGAAAAATCAATGATAGTTGTCGATGGAATGAGACAGGTGACATTGCACAAAAAAAAAAAAAAAAGAATAAAGAAAAACGATACATATACATATTGATGAGAGATACACACACGCATACACACAACAATAAGCATCAAAAAAAGAAAGAGAAAAAAATGACTAGATAGCAAGACGATGAGCAATCTTCAGACGAGTGGATTCGACTGTTGGATCGTCATTTATTGACGATGTTACTGAATAAGGTGAAGTAGTTGGATTGACTCCTGTTGGAGGATTTGTCAATGAAATATTTGATGTAGATGAAAGAGATGAAATAGATGAAGAAGATGATTGTTGTTGTTGTTGTTGAACTGGAACGGTATTAGGTTTTACATCTATATTAAACAGAAAAACAAAAAGAATTATTTATTAACATACATTCTCAATTATAGATATATAGATTGATTAGTGATATGTAGAATTACATTACTTCTTGATCATAACGAGTACGAATTTATCAGATAAAAATTTTCTCAACTAAAATTAGACTTAAATTCAATGATAGATCTGCATTCGAACCTAATAGTAGAGCCTGTCGGATGCGAAGTCTAAAAATTTTGAACCCGACGAACTTTAGTCGTTTAAGAAATGCGTAGAATGTGCTGGTCACAGAATAGAGAAGACTAGAAAAAAATTGCCTGCTATCAACAGGACGACTATCCAATCCCGATGAGAGAATTTCATTGAGTAGGAAAATAGGGTTCGACCGGCTCCGAAAAAATTTGATCAACTGAGTTCCGACGCGTTCAATACTTTGAACCCAGATACCGAAAATATTCAACAAACCGGTTTCGGACCTCAAAACGCTCAATAAACCGGATTCCGAAGATGTTCAATAAACTGAATCCGAATCCCAAAAACGTTTAATAAACCAGATCCGGGTATCGAAAACATTGAATAAGGTGAGTCCAAGGTTCAAAAACGCTCAATAAATCAGGTTCCGAAAATGTTCGATAAATTGGCTTCGAATCTGAAAATTTTGGACTCGATTGAACTCATAGAAAGTCCGCTAGTCTTTTCGCGAACTCAATCTCTAATAAACCAAGGGTATACTGGATTTCAGTATTAATAGCAATGGCATCTATCGTTTTTTAAAAAAAAAAAGTTTCGATACTTCATTTTAGTGGTATGAAAAATTCTTCAATGAAAGATATATATATATA